GTTGAGTTACTGTGTGTGGTGGATGTGCTGGCTGGTGGACGGGTGGTGGGGAGGGGGGTCAGAGGACAGGACCTCTCTCAGAGGAGTGGCTGTTAACCCCTGACCTCGCTGGTTAAGCCTGCAGGGTGGTGGGGGTCGAGGCGGAGGTGGGGAGGGGGCACCCTGAGGTCCGTCTGGTTCAGGGGCACATGATGGCAGGCAGAGGGGGCGGTGAGGTGTCTAATCTGGTTTTTGTCTATGAGGCGTTTTCACCTCCCCCACCATCCTTCCTCTGAGAACAGAGTTTGAGAGGCAGGACAATGTCAAAGGGAAGTGACTTATTTTATGAGCCATTTAAAAGGGATGGTGGTCTCCCCACAAAGGAAAGGCAGGGAAGCTGTGGAAAGCTGATGAATACCATGACACACAGTCACATGTTTGTTTACAAGATGCTGCTCTCACCATAAATGGCAGTTTTCCTCTTCGGAGCTACACTTGAACAATGTTCTGACTGAGTCTTATTACATCTTAAAGTACTTGGGAAGCTGGGGGGGTGAGAGGCCCCTTAAAGGATCTCACCATAAGACAACTGAGAGCCAGTTCACCCATCACACAAAGACTATTCATGCCAGTGATGGTAGAGGAATGACTGATGCACGGACTGACCAGGCTTATTGTGAAATACTGAGGCTGAAACATGTCACGCAAAGTCCGGCATGATGTTGATCTTAATAGGATCTAACTGCTCTTGTTAACTGTTCACTCTCTTGTGTTCCAGCAGTGCCATTTTTTCTCCCAGCGGTTTGAGAAATTGGCTGCCAAAATGTTTTCACAAAGTATGCATTAGCTAAGAATCTTCAGTTTTCAGAGACTTAATCCTTTGAGCTAACAATGTGACATTTGTGCAGACATTCCTGTGAAATATTGACCATCTCACTTTTATTTGTGTACTTTGGTAACTAGGGCTATTTTCCACGTGGATATAGCCCTTTTGATTGTACGCCTGTGCTGTGGGCAAGCAGGGGGCCCTGCTGGAGGAGAGACTGGATGGCTGTTTCACCTAAAAGTTCTGTGTGTGTGTGTGTGTGTGGCTGTGTGTTGTGTTTGTGTGTGTGTGTGTGTGGTGTGTGGTGTGTGTGTGTGGTGGTTAAGTTGTGTGTGGTGTGGTGTGTGTGTGTGTGTGTTGCTCCCTCTACCTCCAATCATGCTGGTACAAAGAGCCATGTGTTGAGCAGTGATGTGATGTGTGAATATGTTTAGGTAGGGACTGCCAACTATGCCTGTGTGTATGTGCATATGTGTACAGGAGGGGGTTGGGTGGAATGGGTGAGGGTTGGAGAGAGAGAGAGATGAGTTTGGGGAGAGGACTGTGAGAGAAGTAGTGACTTTAGGCTTATTTGGACTTGATCCCAGACAGAGGGGTCCAGTTTATGGCGCCAGGGTGCATCCCTCCCTCTGGTGCCCTGTTTAGATGATTGTATTGCCATGAGTCACTTCTGACCCTGCAGTTTAATTTTTTAACATTTGTGCTACTATTTCAGACATGCAGAGGACTTCTCTGAACATATTTTGTGCTGTTCAGTTAGATGCTGCTAAGGCCAAACTAAGTCACCACAGACTTTTGGGAAACATGACCTACAAAGGTGTTTTCTCCTCATATGTATAGTATATATGTGTAAAAGTAAAAGTGAACAAAGTTTAGTCTTGTTTTTGTAACAGAAGTCAGTGGGTGTTTCTATTACGTGCGCAAAAGGAATGAAAACAACCTCAAGATGTGATAGAAAAAACAAATTCACATGGCTCAGGTTGTTATGGCGACGCATTAAACATGGTGACCGCCAGTGAAGGTAACAGAAACATCCCGCAGTGGATGATCAAACCGGAGGAACTGTGACATCCTGAACCAAAATACTGCCAAGTTTCGCCTAATAACAGGTTTCTTTCTTTCCGTTTTCATGGTTAGAAATACACTTAAACTTTAATTTCAACTGATGTTTCATCCACACAAACATTTGTACAAAACAAAAATATTTGAATGAAACCATCCTGTTGTCATATTACTTGGTTGTCTTGTGGTGTGTTCACTTGTCATTCATAGCTGGATAAGTCCTCTGTTGATCCCTTACCCTGGAAATGAGCAAGTAAATGTACAATCACAGTTCATATGAACAGCTGGTAAAATAAACACAGTGACATTGATTGCTGTGAGTATAAAGGGATTCTGTAAACTTTTTATTAAATGTATTTATAGTAACTATTTAGATGTGTCAATAAAGGCTTTGAGAGTCTAGGAATATTTAGTTTAGGTACCTTGAAAATGCTTTAAAATGTTGCTTTTAAAAGGCTGTATGAACCCTGTAAAAAGGAACAAAATGGAACATTTGTTCATGCCTCACATGCTAACAAAGCAGGAATAAAAGCGAGGAAGTCATCTTTATCAAATCCATTTACCATTAAATAGCATAACAAGGTTTGTCATTTAGATCCTTTATATGCTTCATACTTTTTTGCAGTCTTCTGTCGTCACTTGGAGGAAGTTACTTTTATGGTGACATTTTTTTTTATTTTTTACAACTGTTGAGAAGCAAATACAATAAAATTAAAGTAACTGCAGGAGAGAAATGCCGTTATTGATAACCGTTAGATAAGTTACAAGACCCAGTTAACACCTGTTCACAATTAGATTTTCCTGTAGCTTTAAATGAAACACTGACACATTTCTAGGTTTCATATAAAAGAACCACACTTGTTAGTGGACTGGAGTCAGCATTGTCTCTTTAGGCTAAAATTTATTCTGGGGGTGTTTTAATGAGTCATTTAATGATTGCTGGAAAACATCACAGGTACTATTAAAGCTCCAGTCCATGTAAGTAGCAGTAACCTGTGCATACACACAGTCCTCGAGTCAGTGAGCACGGCCTGGTGGGGAAAACTAAACAGGCCGTTGGTGCCTGGATGCAGTGAAAGGATCCCTGTGTTCTCCCAAATTCCAACAGCTACGTTTAAAACAAAACATTATTGCAGCTGCGAATTTGCATTCGTCCTCCCCTGACCCTCCTTTTAATTTGACGTATAACTCACTTTTGAGAAAGTTGGCAGTTGCTGTTTTATCAAAGACAGTATTTAGCTTTTGAGTAATGGTTTTGATTTGGAAAACCGAGTAAAAAGCCGTGTCCACCCTAGCGGAGATCTGTCTGAGAGAAATGTCTGTCTGCACAAGCATTTTCAGAACAGATCTTCCAAAACACAAAAACACTTCACATCTCTCCCGATTGCCATGTGAGGGCCACTTAATCTAAGCAGCTTTTCACTGTTTCCAGTAAGTGGCTTTCTGCTGATGTTTAAGTGTTTGTTTACAGAGCCAGCATTAACAAAGAGAGCATCATCCATTCAAAAATGTATCACATGACTGTCAGATGTCTGAGATCACATGGAAATCATACATATGCTTTTCAAAACGGTGCTTGGTGATACAACAGACTGCGGCTTTCTTGCATTTTTAAAATGCTGCTGTATGTGGAGGCAAAGCCAAAATGATGGAGGAAAAAAAAGACCTTTTTAGATTTATCTGCATCTATGTGCACATGACTGGAGTCAAAGTGGGGGGGAAGAGCTAATCCTCTCCTCTTAAAAGGCTGTGTTTTAGAAGGACATCGCACTCAGAGAAAGCTACAGCCCTGAACTATCAATCAGGACAGGGAAGTGCCAGGATAAGAGCAAGGCTTTATAAAGTGGTCGGCTAAAGACTGCTCTGAGCTGAGTGTCGCAATTAATCCACTTAAGTGCAGTTAAGGGGGTTTTCACAGCCAAGGTGCATTTGATTTGGTGAGGTGTGAAGTTGTTACTTTGAATGGTTTCATCCCAGACAAAAGCAAGAAATTGGGTTAATGGTGGATGTATATGTGTGTAACGGCACAGACATTAACAAAGCCACTCTATAGATGTACAGATTGTGAATGGTTATTTAAATGTAATCACTTTTAGAGGCCGGCCGTTGTGTTCTGAACTTGGTCTGGTCTTGTTTTTCTATTCTAACATAACTGATGGGAGGTTTTTTGCATTGATTTGATTCGTAATGACAGTTTCCTGGATCACATGTTGTTGAACAGTGTATTCTCCTCGTCTTTTCCAGGAGCCCCCTTGAAAGTGTGTCCGCAGGGTTTCTCCTGCTGCACGGTGGAGATGGAGGAGAAGCTGAGCCAGCAGAGCCACACGGAGATCAAAGCTCCCGTCTCCAAGCTTAGCACCAACCTACAATCCACCTTCAAACAGAGGCACGACCACTTTGACAGTAAGCAAACACACTTACACCAACAAACACACACACACACGCACAGCAGCCACTTTTCAGGCTACATTGTGTTGCTGGCTAGCGTCCCTAAAGCAGCACTTGTGTTGCATGATTTTTGACGGACGCTCCCACCTGCTAGTGCACTGCCCCGAGCGGAGACAGTCAGTCTGTGTCCGTTGGCTCGTCCACCTGTCTCTCAATGTCTCAGCTCCCTGCCTCATCGTCCCCCACTACCCGCTTCCCTGCCCTCCAGAGAGACATGCACGCTTCCAGACGGACCACACACATCTTCAGATTTAGTCTTCTCTGTACTTCCTGTTCCTCTGTGTGTGCACACATGTGTGTATGCCTGTAAATATTGGGATCGGGTTTCCCTGGGAGTGCATGGGAACATGCAACAGTGCTGAGTCACCAAGGAAGTGGGGCAGCTCTGAATACCTTCATCCACCCAACCGTGCCACCACCGCAGCTCTGCAGGGAAGAAGTTTGATGAGATAAGATAAGACTTTTCTCAATCAGATAGATAGAAAAGTAAGAACATGTTATATTTAAAACATTTTTTTAACATATTTGAATTTGGCTTGTTCGGGGTGGTTACATGCGTGTTTTGATGCATTTGTGTGTACGCATGCGTGCCTTTGCATATGCGGGTCAAAGACCTTCAGATCTTATGTGTCTGTGAAAGAGAGTGAGGGATAGTCAGTAATAGGGAGCGTGTGTATTGCAGCCAGATGTGAACAGGAATTTGACGTGTCGGAATGCAGTGGCTGCTCGAGCCGTCCCGCCCCTCTTTTTCTCTTACTGCCCTTTGTCCCCATCTCATGCCTCACTCTCCCAAAAACCCTCTCTTTGCCCCACAGACCCTTCTTTCTCTTTCCATCTCTCTTTGCTATGTACAATGAGCTGTTGCTCATGTTTCACTGTATGCATCTTCTCATGTCTTTGCTGCTTTCTTACACAACTCAGTTGGTGCTTTTCTGTGACATTGTTTTTAGGGCTACAACTAATTATTCTCTGTCAGTTAATCTGTTAATTATTTGTACATGCCAGTGTTGGATCTTTAATATAAAGCCCAATTGGGAAAAGTGCCTGCCACAAGTTCCAAGAGACTGTGGTGATGTTTTCAGATGTCCTGCATCCAAAGATATTCAGTTTATTGTCATAGAAGATCCAAAGAAAACTAAAACTAGAAACCAGTGTTTGGGGGGTTTTATGCTTTGAAAATTAGATAAATAAATGGTAATTTGATTATGAACTTTTTGCTAATCGATTTCCATCGATTAATTGAATAATCATTGCACCTCTACATAGCAGGTTTCCTTGAAGTCTAATTATATATCAGTGTCCCAAAATCTCTGCAGATAATGATTTGAGACTAATTAACTTAACTATGACATTTGGAAGTTTTGCAAGATTTCTTAATGAAATTGTTGGTGTAAAGACAAAATCTGACAACTCAACCTTGCCTTACTCTGCACTCTACATCTGCCATAACTGGTGCTTTCATTTATTTATTTTTCTTTTGAGAACATAAAAGTGCTTGTCACAATAAGAAAGAAAAAGGAGAAATGAATTCATGGTTGAATAAAGGTGACATTTCACGGAGCTGCTTTGCATTTGGTCTATTGGGGCTACATGTGGTTAAGTATTTATAATCTGCAGATTTAGTGATGGATGTGTTCTTGTACCATTGTTAAACATCTGAGGAAAAAAGCCAGACAATTTCCTCTATTGTTTTGCATAACTGTAAAACATCTGCTGTCAAAACTTCACTGTGGCTTCAGCTGAGAGCCTTTAAAAAAGAAGTCCATGTTTCCCTCATGTCATACACCATATCACACCACCAAACAACACAGAATTATATATTGTATTTTATCGTATCATATTAGTCATATTTCTAGTAGACAGGTTTTTATTCTAAGATCCAACAACAACAACTAATCATCTAAAAATGGACTGAACAACTGTAGGGTCATCTATTTGACCAAGAGGGGGCAGCCCTCAGACTGACAGTGAAACTCTTCCCTGTACTTCATTTACCTTCCTCCCCTTTTGTGCCCCCTCCTCATCACTGTAGGCAAGTTGCTGCTGTCTCTGAACTGTTAGATGTGGGATCTCTTTACAAAGGCCTGCTGTGCTCTCTTCCAGCCGGGCCATTAGACCGTCTCTCTCACTGGATACGGTGACAGGCTCAGGTTGCTGTCCTATTATTTCCCGTTGTCACATCGAGACACCCAGAAGGAGGCACTTCCCGTTTGGTTGAGACTGGCACAGGAAGTGTTTATCATTGTTTTTACTGTAACTGAAGAGGACGGTCCACAATGTTGATGTCATCTAACTGCTCAGGAGAAGAGGGGTGCATATGTGCATAAACACAGCTGCAACTGTACATGAAAACAGACGCAACAACATACACTCACACTAACAAACTCAGGAAGTGGTGTATGTGATTAGGCAGGCTCTCATCATGCGCCTGGAGCTACGAGTCATGGCCAATTAAGACCAGGGCCAGAAATAGTTCTCCCCTCTCTGTGTCTCCTCACTGTGTGTTTGTCCTGGCCTCAGCCTGTCTGTCCTGTTTCACTGACCCCGTCCAGCAGAGCAAGCCTATGTCTGGGATTTAAGCACTTGGATTAAGGCCCCTTGTCTCCACACACACAACAAGAGACATCCATCCAAAGCACTGAAGTACAACAGCAGGAGGGACAGAATCCTATCCCATAAGAAAAGGGAGAAGCGCAGGGACTAATTGGCACAAATAGGATGCAATTACTGCCTGGGCTGGGATTGGGAGGAGCAGAGTTTATAGGGACACGGGTGGGGGTGCGGAGGAGATGGGGGGAGGTTGGAAGCTCCTTGGAGGAGGAAGTAGGAGGGGAGGAGTGGGAGGAGTGGGAGGAGATCGGTCAGCTCCTCTGTTCCTGTGATGGATTGGGCCTAAGATCATTGCTCATAATTTAGGGCCTTCACTGCAACATGTGGAAATGATGACAGGGTGAGGGGAGGGAGAAGGAAAAGACAGACACTCACAGAGGCAGAAGTTGTCCTTCTCCCTTACATTTCGCTACAGCTTACACTCTCTCCCGTGTAACCTTTCACCCAGATTCTGTCAGACCATTGGCTGAGCGACAGGCACATTTTTTAATGGAAAAATCCTGAGGGAGTGCTCAGCTCCTCGGCCTGTTGGCAGACGGCTGCGTGTCATAAACTGTTTTTAATGACAATGCAAGATGCCTGTGTAATGCTGCTCATGCTTCAGACCCTCGGCTTGGGCCAAAGGACC